AGAGGACCCGCACTTGCATCATACCTAGATTTGATAATTACTCTTGCAGCGCGGTTTTGTAATTTTTGTAGCTTGGCTGAGACCATCCCAGACACTACAGCAGTACATAAAGTGAGGTGAGGTTAAGGCCTGATAGATTTTTGTGGCTGAATGTATGTTGATAAATGGTCTCACACGCTTCAAGGCGCCAATTCCTGAGGAGATTCTGTTCGAAATGTTATCGATAAACCGAGATAGGGCGATAACTGTTCAGGGCCAGCTTACTACCATTTGAAAACTGGGGACATTCTTGCTTTCTTCCAATCATGTGGAAAAATTCCGTCCAAAGTGATCGGTTGAATATCGCAGTAACGAAGGGGGCAAGAGTGTCTCCCTCTATTTTAAGGAACTTAGACGGAATTTTGTCAAGCCCAGTAGCCTTGTTCGTGTCAATTTTTCGTAAAAGGGTAAGGACGTCATTAATGGTGATTTTACGGAAGCTGAAAGAGGTGCAAGTTTGCTTTAACCAGCCGAGATATACTAGCGAAATTTGCTAAGTCATCAAGTTGCTTTCGAGCACGCACATTCTGGGTTCGTCCAAGCGGATGTGTGATCTCACTATCAAAAAACTGAAGATCCGAAAAGGATCATTTTCCATGGCAACGTAACGTCCTCGTGAAAAAGGGCCACCAAAATAGGTTCAATTACAATATCATGCATATACAGCATCAGCTAACTCATCGTCTGTTGTGTACCATTTTTGTTCGGAAAACCGCTTGTCAAAAATACAAAACAAACGCTCAGAGGGTGAATCTCAAAAATCCGGTTTGGATTTGATCTGAAGAATCCACAAAGAGTGTGGATTTTATGGAGTCATGATCCGTTTTTTGGATTTTCTCCAAAAAACGCAAAATTCGTTTTTGGATCGATTTTCCTGAAAAACTGCACCATTAATCTTGACTGACACTAAGCGCATATTTTTCGAGTTTGCAAGTCATCATAACAAACTCCTGATTTCAGTCAGAAAGAGTTTGTTTAAACGAGATACACAAGAGCTTGTGAAAGCTCGTGTCAGAACTTATAACTCTAGAACTTTCATCATGCAGTAGAGCGCAAAGTGAGATTTGGCTAATACAGAATCGAAGTAATTACTGAGGAAACCTTTTTGCCATGCACGCAATTATGGAGACTGAAGTCAAAGATAATACGGATTAGTGGAATTTTTAGCAGGTTACTGCTATTACGTTTGAAATTAGTAAATGACACAAGGAATATTTTAAAAACCATTTACACGTATCGGTTTATTTTTTGACTCATGACCCGTGGTAGATTTGTGTGTGGAACATGTGCGTTCACCATTTTTAGCAAAAGTTGATCTACGGCTAGCTACTAGAACGAGTGCATGCAGTTACCTCATTCTCTCTTGGTTACATTTGTTATACCCTCGGTAACAATTCAAAGATCGACGTTGGCTTTAAAACAAAACCCCAATAGTGGGAGCTCATTGGGCTGCCGACTGCGCGTTCTTCAAGCCGGGGTTGTATAGTGACTTCTACAGTTATGAATAAAAATAGACCAGTTATGCTTATGAAACAAGAAACGATTGGAATTATTTTTGACTGGGACATTTCCACTATGCACCCCCTCTGCACCCAAAAATATAGCATGGCAGTATAACGTGACTTATTTGATATAACCGGAAATTCAAAAAAATTAATGTCGTTCTAGTCTTATAAATCGTGATAGGGTCAACCTTTGATGTTTTAAACTGTTATATAATAGTAACAGTATTTTTTCTGTTAATGATATATGAAATAAATCATATATGAACTGCAGAAATGAAATGAAAATGAAGAAATGATGGTCGCAGTGAACGCAATTTATGCAATTGCGTAAAGTATTATTTCTGTCAGACATTGAATTTAAAGCCCTTCTAACAAACCACGGGAAATAAATGTGTTTCTATCACGGGGCGATCTACAAATAGCATATTCCTTTTCTTCTTGTAAGGAAAGACTTTTCACACGCAGGGAGAGTACTGCAACCGAGTTGAAGCGTTTCCCGTGGGGACCGTGGGGGGGCCGCTTGTTTCTGAAGCTCCCGCGCAGGCTAACTACATCATCGAATACTGTATTTAGATAATCATTCCGCGTAGATATAGGGCCAGTAACGGCACGCAATAATTTTGTGTTCGTTCCAAATCGACTTCTAATTAAGTCTGTTCGCCAGACAATCTGAAATGACCCGTTCCCTCCCCGCAAAAACGGCCCCATTGAAGCGGGGATGGGACACGCAAAGCCTTCTGGGAGCTTTGTCCGCATTTTCCTCTTTTTTTTTTTTTGTCTTGATTGGGCGGTGCCCTCACGGGCAGCCCAATAGTTATGCCGTAACAAATATTAAACATGATTTTGGAATCAGTTATAAAATATACCATTAAGAGCACAGGCGTCCCAAGCTCAAGTTACAAAAGTGAACTGTAATTTACTTTCTGTGACGCGAACTGAACGTGCCAGCACATTTTTTGTCCTTTGCCGCCATCGCACGAGTACCTCGAACGTAACTAACTGTTGTCAAACCTGATCGGAATGCTCTCGTCGCGTTAATTTCTAAGATCATCACTTCGTTTATGACAATCGTCGCCATTTCGATTTCGTCCGAAATACCCGTACCATTTTTACTGTAGAATCGCCTCCGTGCCACGTGTTGGTGTACGTGTGTCACTAGCTCTTATAAATTTGTCTTAATTGTTCTCAAATCCTCTTGGGAGGACAGAATATTCCCAAGGTCAAGAGCATTTGACAATGGTAACCAAATGCAAAATTTGAGGGGAAACAGCGTGAATTTTTGAAATTCGAAAATAGTTGATAAACACTATAGGGTCCCCAATAGGGTTCTTCAATCCCGTAATCCCGACCCAAGATTTCGTCCGATCCCGTAATCCTGAGGGTTATTTCGGGCATTATAACTCGCGCGCATACCTTCAATCCCGAATCTTGCCCCGATTTTGCTTCAAAATCCCGAATTCCGAGCTTCAAATAAGGGAAATCCCGGATCCCGAAAAACCTATTGGGGACCCTCATGTATCAGTCTATTTGGAAATTACGGCATTGTCAAGGGTCTACCAAGAATTTCGTTTTCAAATATTTCTAAGGGATCATACCCTTAGAATCCTTAAGTTAAAAGGGTAACCTTTCCTTTCTTCTTAGCACTGTCACATCAGTGGCCACAGCTTATCACAAAAATATTTTGCGGTCTTTGTATCATTTGAATAGTCAGGAAAGGAGCACACCCTCTTTAAGACCGCGCTTTCTGTCTACTATGATTTAAAGGAAAAATAAGAGACTGCACGCAGTCTACAAGCCTCTTACTTGGACCGAGGTCAAGCCACGCTCTAACGGAGCACGTGTTTGTCATTTGTGTTTTTCCCAAGAATTTTTATCCAGGACAAATGTGAACAGCTGGCGAACGTAAACAAAAAATCTTCTGAAGTTGAAGAAAAAGAAATAACAAAATATATACTAAACTTTAAGTTTTCAAGTCCTGAAACAATATACAAGCGGAATTTGCTAAGTCAGCGAGTGGCTTTCAAGCAGACTCTCACGCTCTTTAATATTCTCCTTCAGAAAAAGCGCACATTTTTCGATTTTGCAAGTCAGCGCAAATCAAGTCAATCAAATCAATCAATCAACATTCTTTCAACACGTACACATCTACATTTCTTCTTTTAAGTAGGCCATAACAAACATTAACTAAAGTAAAACGTACTTCAACATTTAGAAAACACTAATGCGAGCAAATTTAGCAAGGGAAGTATAAGCTCAGAGCAGACTCCCGTCACTTGCAAGGCAACGAAAAAGGTTTCACTAATTGCCATTAGTTCTAAAACAAATCGAACAAATCGCTAAACAAGACTAAATTTTTGGCCAACTAATTTTGGATGTCGCACGAACGCATACAAATTGAGAAAAAAAAACACTAGTCAAATCGATTCGAGAAATAGTAAGGAGACGAGATATTATTTCCGATACACAGCACGTCCTCAGTCACTGTGAAGTGACTTTGAAATGTTATGTCACGAACGCAAATTCCTAATGATTATTTCCTCATATAATCCGTTTACCATCCAGCTTTTTCAAATGTTACCAACTATTACATTTTTTGTCCTTATGTTATTTTTAGACTACGAGTAGTCCATCATTTTCCTCGGGGATAGCTGAGCGAGCAAAATACTTATAAGCGCGCGTGAAAATCATCACGCGCGAGGTCGGCCGTACTTCTTTCACCTAGATATTGTAACGAACATTTCTCAGGTTTTCAAGGTCTGAGAATGTAGGGAATTTCCTCATAATCTAAGAACTTCTAGATTAGTAACCAAATGTTTCTCGAGGAGTATACATTTCTTACTACTTCTTACTAGAGCGAGAAAAGGGCCTTCCTGGAACGGGATCAAACCATTAGTTGGTATTAGCAGCAGCTGAGATAAAAGCAAATGTAACTTTTTTTCTAATAAAAGTCTTCAAGTCATAACGGTAAGAATATTCAGGAAGAGAGCCTACAGAATAGCGAGATGTGATTATGTAAAAGTTCAAAACAAGAGGTATATTTAACTCCAGTAATACTCTTTTGCTTCCCAGTCTATAAAATGGTACTGAAGCTATATTTAACAGAGTTTTCTGAAAACTAAGTCAACAAAAATTAGAGCCATTGGACTGGAAAAAAGCCAAAAGGTATTTTGTTGCGTCCGACAAAGCAGCCTAAGGAGAGGAAAAGGAAAGGTAAAATAGAAAAGGCGAGATAAAAAGCAGCGATTGTACACTTAGTTTATATAGACATAGACAGACTTAGACGTACTTTATTTAAACACGGTTAAAACATCAGTATAAACCCTCGAATTAAAATCTAAAGTACTGGTTTACGTGTTTGCCGTGTGGGTGCCCGTTGGTGAATGTATTATATAAGTCGTTAATTCCCTTTTTAAACCTTGTTAGGGTTAACGGCTTATTACGTTGTTCCGATGACAGTCAATTCCAAAGGACAGCTCCCGAATACCCAAGACTTCGCTTTAGAGAGTCAGTCCTTAGTTTGGGTACATGCAAGATGTTCTCAGAGCGCCGGATATTGTAATAAAAGTCACGATCAGAGAACATATCTTGCATGTAGGGGGGCATTTGATTGTTCAGTGTTTTGAACATGACAACTGCCTTTTGTTTTGTTCGGCTAATCGAAACCCTATCCCACCCAAGCATGTCCAAAAGAGGACCCGCACTTGCATCATACCTAGATTTGATAATTACTCTTGCAGCGCGATTTTGTAATTTTTGTAGCTTGGCTGAGACCATCCCAGACACTACAGCAGTACATAAAGTGAGGTGAAGTTAAGGCCTGATAGATTTTTGTGGCTGAATGTGTGTTGATAAATGGTCTCACACGCTTCAAGGCGCCAATTCCTGAGGAGACTCTGTTCGAAATGTTATCGACCGAGATAGGGCGATAACTGTTCAGGGCCAGCTTACTACCATTTTGAAAACTGGGGACATTCTTGCTTTCTTCCAATCATGTGGAAAAATTCCCGTCCAAAGTGATCGGTTGAATATCGCAGTAAGGAAGGGGGCAAGAGTGTCTCCCTCTATTTTAAGGAACTTAGACGGAATTTTGTCAAGCCCAGTAGCCTTGTTCGTGTCAATTTTTCTTAAAAGGGTATAAGAAAGTCATGAATGGTGATTTTACGGAAGCTGAAAGAGGTGCAAGTTTGCTTTACCTAGGTTAGCAGGTCTACATCTGAATTAGGAATTTTATTAGCTAGGTCTTCGTCAATTCTGGTGAAGTGAGAATTAAAAGCCCAAGCGATAACAGATGAGGCCCTCAACTCCCGTTCCCCTATCTTAACTTCTGTGACCACTTGACCACTTTGGGGAAAACTGATTCGTAGAAGAAGTCGCTATATATGGTATTGCTTTTTCACTTCCAGCCGAGATATACTAGCGAAATTTGCTAAGTCATCAAGCACGCACATTCTGGGTTCGTCCAAGCGGATGTGTGATCTCACTACCAAAAAAATGAAGATCCGAAAAGGATCATTTTCCATGGCAACGTAACGTCCTCGTGAAAAAAGGGCCACCAAGACAGGTTCAATTACAATATCATGCATATACAGCATCAGCTAACTCATCGTCTGTTGTGTACCATTTTTGTTCGGAAAACCACTTGTCAAAAATACAAAACAAACGCTCAGAGGGTGAATCTCAAAAATCCGGTTTGGATTTGATCTGAAGAATCCACAAAGAGTGTGGATTTTATGGAGTCATGATCCGTTTTTTGGATTTGCTCCAAAAAACGCAAAATTCGTTTTTGGATTTTCCTGAAAAACCGTACCATTTATCTTGAATGACACTAAGAGCATATTTTTCGAGTTTGCAAGTCATCATAACAAACTCCTGATTTCAGTCAGAAAGAGTTTGTTTAAACGAGATACACAAGAGCTTGTGAAAGCTCGTGTCAGCACTTATAACTCTAGAACTTTCATCATGCAGTAGAGCGCAAAGAGAGATTTGGCTAATACAGAATCGAAGTAATTACTGATGAAACCTTTTTGCCATGCACGCAATTATGGAGACTGAAGTCAAAGATAATACGGATTAGTGGAATTTTTAGCAGGTTACTGCTATTACGTTTGAAATTAGAAATGACACAAGGAATATTTTAAGAACCATTTACACGTATCGGTTTATTTTTTGACTCATGACCCGTGGTAGATTTGTGTGTGGAACATGTGCGTTCACCATTTTTAGCAAAAGTTGATCTACGGCTAGCTACTAGAACGAGTGCATACAGTTACCTCATTCTCTCTTGGTTACAATTGTTATATCCTCAGTAACAATTCAAAAATCGACGTTAGCTTTAAAACAAGACCCCCATAGTGGGAGCTCATTGGGCTGCCGACTGCGCGTTTTTCAAGCCGGGGTTGTATAGTGACTTCTACCGTTATGAATAAAAATAGACCAGTTATGCTTATGAAACAAGAAACGATTGGAATTATTTTTGACTGGGACATTTCCACAATGCACCTCCTCTGCACCCAAAAATATAGCATGACAGTATAACGTGACTTATTTGATATAACCGGAAATTCAAAAAAATTATTGTCGTTCTACTCTTATAAATCGTGATAGGGTCAACCTTTGACGTTTTAAACTGTTATATAATAGTAATATCTCGAAAAGCAAATTAAGTTTCAGTATTATTTCTGTTAATGATATATGAAATAAATCATATATGAACTGCAGAAATGAAATGAAAATGAAGAAATGATCGTCGCAGTGAACGCAATTTATGCAATTGCGTAAAGTATTATTTCTGTCAGACATTGAATTTAAAGCCCTTCTAACAAACCACGGGAAATGAATATGTTTCTATCACGGGGCGATCTACAAATAGCATATTCCTTTACTTCTTGTAAGGAAAGACTTTTCACACGCAGGGAGAGAACTGCAACCGAGTTGAAGCGTTTCCCGTGGGGATCGTGGGAGGGCCGCTTGTTTCTGCAGCTCCCGCGCAGGCTAACTACATCATCGAATACTGTATTTAGATAATCATTCCGCGTAGATATAGGCCCAGTAACGGCATGCAATAATTTTGTGTTCGTTCCAAATCGACTCCCAATTAAGTCTGTTCGCCAGACAATCTGAAATGACCCGTTCCCTCCCCAAAGAAAACGGCCCCATTGAAGCGGGGAGGGGACTCGCAAAGCCTTCTGGGAGCTTTGTCCGCATTTTTCTTTCTTTTTTTTTTTGTCTTGATTGGGCGTTGACCTCACGGGCAGCCCAATAATTATGCCGTAACAAATATTAAACATGATTTTGGAATCAGTTATAAAATACACCATTAAGAGCACAGGCGTCCTAAGCTCAAGTTACAAAAGTGAACTGCAATTTACTTTCTGTGACGCGAACTGAACATGCCAGCACATTTGTTGTCCTTTGCCCACATCGCACGAGTACCGCGAACGTAACTAACTGTTGTCAAACCTGATCGGAATGCTCTCGTCGTGTTAATTTCTATGATCATCACTTCATTAATAACAATCGTCGCCATTTCGATTTCGTCCGAAATACCCGTACCATTTTTACTGTCGAATCGCCTCCGTGCCACGTGTTGGTGTACGTGTGTCACTGGCTCTTATAAATTTGTCTTAATTGTTCTCAAATCCTCTTGGGAGGACTGAATATTCCCAAGGTCAAGAGCATTTGACAATGGTAACCAAAGCAAAATTTGAGGGGAAACAGCGTGAATTTTTGAAATTCGAAAATAGTTGATAAACATCATGTATCAGTCTATTTGGAAATTACGGCATTTTCAAGGGTCTACCAAGAATTTCGTTTTCAAATATTTCTAAGGGATCATACCCTTAGAATCCTTAAGTCAAAAGGGTTACCTTTCCTTTCTTCTTAGCACTGTCACATCAGTGGCCACAGCTTATCACAAAAACATTTTGCGGTCTTTGTATCATTTGAATAGTCAGGAAAGGAGCACACCCTCTTTAAGACCGCGCTCTCGGTCTACTGTGATTTAAAGGAAAAATAAGAGACTGCACGCAGTCTACCAGCCTCTTACTTGGACCGAGGTCAAGCCACGCTCTAACGGAGTACGGGTTTGTCATTTTTGATTTTCCCAAGAATTTTTATCCAGGACAAATGCGAACAGCTGGCGAACGTAATCAAAAAATCCTCTGAAGTTGAAGAAAAAGAAATAACAAAATATATACTAAACTTTAAGTTTACAAGTCCTGAAACAATATACAAGCGGAATTTGCTAAGTCAGCTAGTGGCTTTTAAGCACACTCTCACGCTCTTTAATATTCTCCTTCAGCAAAAGCACCCATTTTTCGATTTTGCAAGTCAGCGCAAATCAAGTCAATCAAATCAAACAATCAACATTTTTTCAACACGTACACATCTATATTTCTCCTTTTAAGTAGGCCATAACAAACACTAACTAAAGTAAAACGTACTTCAACATTTAGAAAAAACTAATGCGAACAAATTTAGCAAGGGAAGTATAGGCTCAGAGCAGACTCCCGTCACTTGCAAGGCAACGAAAAAGGTTTCACTAATTGCCATTAGTTCTAAAACAAATCGAACAAATCGCTAAACAAGACTAAATTTTTGGCCAACTAATTTTGGATGTCTCACGAACGCATACAAATTGCGAAAAAAAAACACTAGTCAAATCGATTCGAGAAATAGTAAGCAGACGAGATATTATTTCCGATACACAGCACGTCCTCAGTCACTGTGAAGTGACTTTGAAATGTCATGTCACGAACGCAAATTCCTAATGATTATTTCCTCACATAATCCGTTTACCATTCAGCTTTTTCAAATGCTACCAACTATTACATTTTTTGTCCTTATGTTATTTTTAGACTACGAGTAGTCCATCATTTTCCTCGGGGATAGCTGAGCGAGCAAAATACTTATAAGCGCGCGTGAAAATCATCACGCGCGAGGTCGGCCGGACGTGTCACCTTCCTGACCTTTCTTGCGGCCGCGGGTGGCCAACACTGAATAAAAATTTCGTGCTGCACGCAAATTAGGACAAATTAGCACTGAAAACGTTGTTGGACTTGACCTGACAAAGTTAGGGAAAATAACACCCAGAACTTGTCGCTACACAAATGCAACAAAACCAGACACGTTTATTGATGGGGAGCCTTATGCGAGC